AACTCCCTCAGCCTGTCCTCATAAGAGAGGTGCTCCAGCCCTCGGATCATTTTCTTAGCCCTTCTCTGGACATGCTCCAACAGGTCCAGAGTTGGACACACTGTTCTAGGTGAGGTCTCACCAGGGCAGAGTAGAGGGGCAGAATCACCTCTCTCCATCTGCTGGCCACACTTCTTTTCATACAGCCATGGATGGAGTTGGCCCTTTGGGCTGCAACTGCACATTGGTGGCTCATGTCCAGCTTTTAATTCACTAGTACCCCCAGGTCCATTTCCACAGGGCTGCTCTCTAGTGTGACCTCCCCCACCTTGTATTCTTATCTTGGGTTACCTTGGCCCAGGTGCAGGACCCTGCACTTGGCCTTGTTGAACCTCATGAGGTTCACCTCGGCCCACTTCTCTAGCTTGTCCAGGTCCCTCTGGATGACATCCTATCCCTCTGGCATGTCGACCTCACCACTCAGCTTGATGTCATCAGCAGACTTGCTGACGGTGCTCTCGGTGCCACTGTCAATAGAGTTAATGAAGATATTAAAGAACAGTGGACCCAGCACTAACCCCTGAGGGACACCACTTGTCACTGTTTTCTATCTGGACTTAGAGCCGTTGACCACTACCCTCTGGACCCAACCATCTAGCCAGTTCCTTATCCACTCAACAGTCCACCCATCAAATCCATATGTCTCCAATTTAGTGAGAAGGATGTTGTGGGGGACCGTGTCAAAGGCCTTGCAGGAGTCCAGATAGATGACATCCACTGCTTTTCCCTGGTCGACTGATGTACTCACTTTCTTGTAGAAAGCTACTAGGTTGGTCAGGCAGGATTTTCTCCTGGTAAAGCCATGCTGGCTGTCCTGGATCACCTCCTTGTCCTCCACGTGCCTTAGCATGTCTTCTAGGAGGATATGTTCCATGATCTTCCCAGGAACAGAGGTGAAGCTGATAGGTTGGTAATTCCCAGGGTCCTCCTTTCTAACCTTTGTAAATATGGGTATAACATGTCCTTTCTGTCTGTTACCAGATACTTCATCTGACTGCCATGACTTTTCAAATATCATGGACAGTGGTTTGGCAACTCCATCCACCCAATTCCTGCATAACTCTGCGATGTATCTCATCAGGTCCCATGGACTTGTGTATCTTCAGGTTCCTCAGATGGTCACAAATCTTATCTTCACTTACAGTGAAGGGGACTTTGTCTCTCTGGTCTGCATCTTGTGGGCCATCAACATGAGAGTTGTGAGGAGAGAGGTTGCCAGGGAAGACTGAGGCAAAAAAGTTAAGAACCTCAGCCTTCTCATCTGTTGTTACCATTTCACCATTGTAGCTCATTACGGGGGGGACTCTTTCTTTAACCCTCCTTTTCTGGTTTATGTACCTGTAGAAGCCCTTCTTGTTTTTCTTAACATCTTTTGCCTTAGCCTTCCTGACCTCATCCCTGCATAACTGGGCAGCGTCCCTATACTCTACCCAGGACACCTGTCCCCTCTTCCACTGCATATGTATATCCACCTTGCCTTTTAGTTTGACCAGCAGGTCCCAACTCAGACATGCTGGTCTCTTACCTTCCTTGCCCGATTTCCTATACCAGGGGGTTCAGACTGTTCTTTCACTCCCCAGTGAATAGATTTAGCAGCACTACAAAGAAGACAGCAAGCTCATTTGCCTAAAGATAGCAGGTACCTTCACAGTGTGTTTTAAAAAAGAGAATCTGTAATTTCACAGTTTTACAGAGAGTAAATGGATCATGAGTGGACAACATAAGAAAATAATAGATACTGCACAGAACAGAGAGTTCCCCAGTCTAAGACTTAAAACATTGTAGAGGAAAATTAAAGGGAAAATGACAAGGCAGCAAGAGAAGCAGAATAGCAGATGAACTGAGGCAGAAGAGGGAACTAATGTTCATTAAAATAATCTGTGTTTTGGTCCAAATGTACCCTTTTAAAATGAACCCATCCCATATTTCTTCAAATGTGTATCAATGATTTACACAGCCATGAACTACAACCCTTTTCAATGCTACACTATTAGACTCCACTCACTGATCCAATACTTTACTACTGAAAGAAGAGCTGAACTGTTATTTATATAAAACTGAGGCACAACAAACATCATGTACCCAAGAACAAATGCTAGATTTAAATTCCATCAACCAGGGAACAGGATCTAGTTCTCAGGAGAAAACAGTTAATTTTCTATCTACTTCTTTCCAGAGCTACAAGACTGGAAGACTATGAAATGCACAGAATAAAGAATAAAATTCCATCTTGCAAAACCTCCCTAGTATCCACAACACTCTGAGTAAGATTTGCTCAACAGAGTCAAAGGTCTGCTGAGTTACTTTTAACATTCCTAATTTGCTCTGCTGCTGGGACTTTCATTTGCTCTTCCCCCTGGAATTTCACAAGAAGCAAGTTGCTAATGAACACATGTTTAAAGGACAGGCATGAGTCTGGAGACTTCACAGGCTGTCAAGTTCCCAGTACCTCTAGTTATCTTTAAATATCTAGTCCAGAGTCAAGTTAATGTATACATTTAATTTAGAGTATTGGTTAATTACGAGTTTAAAATTCTCATCTACTTCTATACCACACTGTAGGAATATGAAGAAAAAAAACAACACACAACCAAATCGAGGGTACTGGTGAAATCCTAGTTCCTTGCAGGCACATAACTTTATTGAATCAGAAAAGTCCCAGCAAAAGTCAGTTACAGCTTAATTCACTTTCTAAACCTAGAAACCTAAACTGTCACTTTCTTTTTAAATAGAGACTAGATACTGTTTTGTTTGTTTCTGTTTCAGTTTTTCAACTGAAAATAGAAGCACTTAAATAGCATAAAATTTACTCACTCTGGTTATTTTTTCTGCTAGCCTGAACTTCTCCTACAGGAATAGACTGCAAAGCTGCCATAATCCTCCGAGCAATATCAGATAAAGGCACTTCAGAAGTCTCACATCCTATGTATGATGTATACTGTTCCATTTCTAAGATTAAACCTAAACACAGAACATACAAAAATTGTGCATATCAGGGCCACAAAACAATCTGCACTTACATTCTGTTGAAATTAAAGACAAAATACAGTGGACATGTTCAGCCATTCATTCTGTACAGAAAATGACATTTCCACCCTAATGACATTTCCACCATCCTTGGAGAGCCCCTAGATACAACATAGATGGGAAAATCAGAAACAACAGTATCCATACTGATGACTTTGTTGACTTTCTATAGTTAAGATCAGAACAATGTATAAAACTTAACACAAAGACAAGACCAATACCCAATGTTTAAAAATATTTAAAAGGATTCAAGCTGTACAAGTCAATTGCTCTACCAAAAACTGCCGTTAAGTAAATTACTCCTGTAGAAGTTAATCAGTGGAGTTTTGTCATTCTGGTCTTCTCCCACTAAATCCAGCATGAGTAACTTTCAAGTGAAGTTCAACAATTAACAGTGTTTACTCTGCTCACATGGAAATATTTTTCTTAGCTCAAGCCCACAGGCAAATTGCAAGTTTGAATGCTTACAAGTAGAAACATTTGTATCATAGAATCAAAGAGGAATGTCCATCAGCTGCATTAGTACTGGCTATGCCTATCTCTCTCAAATTTTATAGTAAGCATGTGAAAGGCAGAGGAGCAGAATGACTTTCTCTTCCCTAACATTCCAGGAGACAGAAATATAATCTTTCCCCCTGCACAACTCCTCCTAACTTTTATAATTAAGAGAAACGCTTCTTTCCTACACAGGATAAAAACACTCCCTGACTTCTCAGGGTGGGAAGCAGCAATCTTAAAGCCTCGGGGGCACATCAAAATGAGTACCTAGCAGAATAACAAAGAGGACACTATGCATGAGAACAGCTTAAAACCAACACACAAATTCACCACAAATACTGACAACACTGAATTTATAGTGTTTGGCATTTAATAATAAACACAGTATATAGAGTTTAGCAGCATGAAAGCCCTAAAAAAGACATCCAACCAGTAAGCTAAAAAAATAATTAGAAGTTTTAAAAATAAGTTAAACTCCATAAAAGTCTGCCGTGAAAATTGTTTTAAGACTACTGTTACTGAAATTAAAGCTAATTTACTAATCTTCATCACTATGTATGATGTTTGAAAGCAAGTGCAGCTGATCCAATCAAAATACAAAAGAATGGAAGTTAACATACTATAAAAGCCTACTTAGTTCTATTGGTATATTAGGAAGGTATATAGAAATGCGATGAAGAGCCTAAAAATGCACATGAAAGCAGAAGTTTGAAAGCATCAGTACTCAGAACTGAAATGCCTATCATTATACATTACAGAGTAAACTGAGAACTCCAAAAGGTAAATTTAAAACTCTCTCTTTGAGGAGGCCAGTATGAGTATGAACTGGTTTCAGTGGAAAAAACAGGCTGTAAGTTGAATTAAGAGATAAGGGAATTGTCTTAAAACAGATGGTCTGGGTATGTGAAACAGGTTCTGGTACATATCCCAATACATTTCTAACAAAAACAAATCTTCTTAGGAAAACTGTAAGAGAAACAATCATGGAGTATCTGTATTAGAGAAATTACTTCAGAAGAAACATGTTCCAAAATCTGGAATGCCTTCTCTGCATGTATTTTTCAGTTTACACAGCAAAGGTTCCTAGCATGCAAGAAAACTTAGCTCAAGGGTATGAAAAGGTTTTTTTTGTGCTATGCTGTGTGCAGTGGAAACCAACATACAGGATAGCAAAAGAGCAGCCTGAATGTAATTCATTTAAATATCCAATATGTTACTTCTTATAAAAGAACCTTGACAAAACTGAGATTTGAACTTGGTGGGCAGATGCCAAAAGCCATAAAGCAGCATATAATCCCAACTTGGCAACTGTTGCAGTTAAACATACATCCCAATAATAGATACATGTTAGTCTTGATAAGGTAATACTTATCATTCCATAAACTTGTAGATAGTCTACATTAACATGCTTTCCTTCCGTAAAAGTACACTGAAGTTTAAACACTAAGAACTCCACTTGTGATATTCTCATCTTCCAGATCACTGACTTTAGCCTCAGACTGCTGCTCAAGTTTCTCCACCATCTCTTTCAAGTGGTCTTCATCTTTGAAAAAATACACATACAAGTTTCTTTCCATCTGATGCAGCTTACTGGACTCTATAAAGTCTCTCTTTAACTTCACATCAGCAATCAGATCCATAAGGAGTTGATTTAGTTTCTTTAAATCAGCTTCTATTTGACGAAACTGCTCAGTAAGCTCCTAACAAAAAATAAAAGATTAAAAAATTATTATATTTACATTGTTAATACACTAGTGGGTCATCACAAAAAACAAAACCACAGGTGATAAGGGTTTCCATTCAACGTGTGTACCTTTTGAGCTCCTTGTAATGGTACTCTTACCAGATTATGAAAATGTAATTTCATTTACTTGTTTACTAAACCAGATGAGTGAAGACCATAGGAATCTGGTCCTCAACTAGATAGATGGATGGTTGAATACATTTTCAATCAATTACAAGTCTTCATAGCTAGTCAAATCTTAAAATATAACAAAAAAAAAAATACAATAGAAAAGCTAAATAAATTTTAAAATTAAACCATTAATTATCAGCTACAATTCTCCCAACTGCTATTCTTACGATAGTTCAATTTAAGCAGGCTAATGATCTACTTGCACTTAATTTCCTTATTAAAGGAATTACTTTTCTTGAGAAACACTAGCAATTGAAAGAGATATCACTATATTTTAAGAGGTAATTTGAATCAATAGAAAGGTATTTGATTGATTTAATAACGTGTTATCCCTAAATACAATTTATTCGAATTCCAAAGACTCCTTTTATAAAAACGCCTGTTCTGTATGTTGCAAATTCACTTGACAGATGAAAGTTTAAAACATATTTTCATGTATTTAACTGAGGCAGTATTATGTAACAGAAGACTTCACTCTATACCCTTCTGAGGTATCTACAATTAAAAAAGCAACTATATGTTGCATTAACAACCCCTACTCCCCTTCAAAAGAGGCTCTTAAACCCAACACCTGGGAGCTCTATAGCAGGATTGTCCGAGTACAATTGTCCTTCAAAATTCTCATATTTGTGTTTTACCCAAATGAGCCCATGGCCAAGCTTTTTAAGGGGTCAAACTATACTATTCAGATGCTACAGGTAACAGTGGAAAAAAGCCTGTCTGAAACAGAGAAATTCAAAAAAGTTTTCCAGTGACACCCTGTCCAGATGACACGTTTCCCCACACCATAAACTTTCTAGTAATATATGACTGTATATGCCTTTGAAAGAAAAAAGTTAGATGCAACAATTTGCTCAGAAACTGATTATATCCTGCCAACATTTACAAAAATCTAACATTGGCTAACAACAAGTGTAAATACTGAGCCTACCATCATTATGCTAATAAATTAGTTGCTGACATGTGTGAGCCAGTTTGTGTGTCTATAGACTTCATGCTACATTTTTCTCACTAAAAGAATGTGACACATAATTGTAATAATTTTAATAACTAGATAAGGGCCTACCGGGTTACGGAGTTGTATCTGGTTTCCTCCACGATACAGGGCATCATGCAGGGTATCTACATCACTTTTTAGCTTGGACAAAAGGAGAGATTGTTCCTGAGAAGATGCTGCTAGCTGATCTTGTACTGTAGCACAATCCTCCTTTAACTTCTGAGCCATCTGCTCCAGGCTTTTGTATGTTTTTAACAACTGCTGCTTTCTATTTTCTCCTTCCAGAAGCTGATATAGCCTGCAACAAATGAAGATAGGCACACAAGTATTTTTAAGTTTCCTAAGAACTTCTGTCATTATCAGTGAAGAGAAGACTTCCATGTTGAGAAGTCAGACAGAGGTTTAGTAAAGGACAGTTCTGCTCAGGGTACTCTTATTACACAGCTGTATTTCCCATTGATTTCATTATTCTATTTATATATAGCTAGTACATAATTAATAGGACTCAAAAATACTTCCGCATTAACAGCAATGAAGTACCAAGGTAACAGTTCATAAGTACACAATGAATGTAAACAGAAGCTGACAGTGCTTTTGCCAACTATTTCCCAGCTTTGCTCAGTTGCTACTACCACCTCTGCACATTAAAATTTTCAAGAGTTAAGTACTGATATAGAATCAGATTGGCTTTAATAAGAGCAGGAGCTGTATTTCAAAAGTAACTGAGTTTCCTTCAAGCATCTTATGCTAAGAAAACTTGCAGGGTTTAGAATTCTTTCAACTTCCCTTCACAATCACGAATACTAAGGTGTGCCTTTTTTAAAAAAAATATATGTGAAAAAGTAGCCAGACAACATTCTGGTTCAGTGGTTCACAGACTTAATAATAAACCTGAACAAAAACGGTACAAGTTGCCAATGTAAACACAAAACAGGAGCAAAATTAACACTGCCTAAATTTTGCAGCTATTCACTGCGCAAGACTACACTCAACTATCACTTAACAATAATTAAAAAACACTTTAAAGAAGAAGGAAGAGGCTGACATTAACACACCTCTAATTATACAATAAAACTCATAAAAATGTTTGCAGTCTTGAAGTGACAGCAACACAGCACGCATTCCTACTGTATCACCTGAGCCATAAAGGTACTTTATTATTTAGGTGGTCATAAAACAGACTCCTATATGAGTGACTGCAGCCACATCACAAATCGAGCAGTAAAAATGGACTAAACGCATTTCATATATTCAAGGAGTTTTTCCTCTCCTCTACCACATGGGGGTTTTTGCAGACTAAGCTGATGAGGCCACACATATGATCTGGAAAATCACCTTTTCACAGCTCTCTACATCTGTACATTTAGGACAACTTTCAAGAGGTCCCACTTAAGGGCACAGGTTTGGCTTTAAACATTCCTTATATTCTGGCTATTGCTTGGGAATGCTTCAGCAATATTAACAAGATGGATAATGGGTGTTTTTCCTCAGGCAAACTTGAAAAGAATTTCAAAGGATAAGAAAGAGGCAAGTCTCATATCTTGAAGGTTTCAGTCCTGAAGAATTCAAAATACTAATTAGCTGCAGCAAGTAGCTAAGAAGTCTGTTATATGCCTAAGCCTTGATCTCCCCAATATTATTTCAAAAGAAGTCAAAGTTCAATAGTGATCATGATGCTTACCTGCAAGAGAAACCATCCTTTGAACTAATGATGTTTCTTGGCTTTGCACTCTGAGTTTGCTCAGTTATCACCTGCAGTCTTTGTTGCAACTCATTACTGCTCTGTTTCAGAGACTCTACCAAATTCTCAACCTGACAGCAAATCTCCTTATGTTTCTTCAACTCCAGTTCATAGGCTAGCTCAATAAGTTCAAATGATGCTTTCTGTCTTATGAAATGCCTGCATATTTCATCCTGTCTTGCAGCATAATATTCGTGCTGAGCAATCTGATGATCCAAGTACCCTTTCACCACTGGTGCACTCCAAAGTCGTGCTTTCTCTTTCAGAAGAGGAAGCAGTTCTTTATTGTTTATCTGAGTTATATCTTGTCTAAGTCTTGAAATTTCATCATTTAAATTAGATATTTTGGCATCGAGGTCTTCTTGTTTCTTAATATCCTGCAGAAAGCAAAATATTTGTCAATTTCTTCAGGGTTCCCTCCAAGCCACTTCCCTAATGCAATTCTTTAGTTCACATGAGATTCATGTAGTTACATTAAAATCATTGAATCTTTTGTATCTACAAAAATTAAGTGAAAACTCCACAAATCATTTTACAGAACTTCACAACATAAGGCAAATACATATTTACAAAGTAGATATGAAACAAACAGATTTTAATAAAGAGTAATTTCATTCTATTGAGGGCCAGGAAACAGTTCATTGTGAAAAACTAGAAGCACTGATATTTTACTTAACACCCAGATTCTAAGCATGTCAAACTGAAATCCCACATGCAAACATAAATTTTTATACTCTGTCAGATGACTATCAACACTGCTATCAGAATCAATCTTTTTCAAATTCCGTTAATCAAGGACTATACGCCAGTCATGCATAAATAAAAATATAGAAACTGCCATGATACCTCAAGGGAGTCTATGACTGGCATCGGCTAATATTTTTCCTTCTGTTACGATTTCTCCACATCCTTAAATTCCACTAGTCATTATCCACCTGACAGATTTCTGGAGATTCAACTATCAAGCCATTTACTTGGTATTTAAGACATGTCACCACAACGTCACCATGTAACAAATACTTGAATTTCAAGAGTCAGTGAACTAAATCTTTATGTTATGGAATATAAACAGAAATATATCAGACTACCTCCTCAATATCACAAAATTTCAACCAATGTTAAGCTTTTGTTTGTTGTACAAACAACCAAGGGCCAGTTATAATTTGAAATTTCAAAGTTAAACTAAACTGAAAAGGTTCTACTAAATTTTAGGTTTTAAGGTGGACTTAAAGGTACTCTGCCATACCAAAAATTCTGTAAGTATAGAAACTAGATCTATTTCACAAGAGGAGTTTTGTGCACAAGACAACTATGTAAAAATAGTTAAAATAACAATAACTCAGAAATTCCTTTTACTACATCCCAGTTGAACATGCCTGCCTGTTTAAAACTCCACTGCCTTGTACCACTTTTTGCAGCTTACCTTGTTGTCTAAGGACTGCAGCATGCTCTCTGCACATTTGATAGCTGATTTCATGCCCTCCTCTTTAGCTTGCATCTGAATCAGCTGATGTTGAGCAGAAATATATGCTGCCTGGAGCCTGGCTATCTCTTGAGTCTCTTCACAAACTTCCTCAGCCTCATTGCAAGTGACTTGCTTGCTTATATCCCCAAGCTGAAAGCTGTCTTCATGACAACTTTCAACCCATTCAGACATACCTTGATAAAAACGGGGGTTTTTTTTAATGTATGAGGTAAGTGCTGCAGTGCTTTGTTCTTCCTGAGACAAATACTTGTCCAAAGAAAGCTGTGAAAAAAACACTGGGTGCTGACCTGACCCTTGTTCTGAATCTGAGGCAGTGAAGAAAGAGGACAGTTTCTTAGCTGCATCTGTAAGAGACACAAGTTCACTATTAAGCTTATTATTTGCTGCAGTAAACATTTCCAGTCCTTCTTTCAAATATTTATGTGCTTCTTCCTCTTTGCTTTTAAATGTTTGTAACACGCCGCTGTTTGCAGCAACCATCATTTGAAGCTTGTTTTGCCGATGAATTTGAAGTTTTTTTAACTCCTTAAGAGTTTGAAGCTCATCCTCTAATTTCTTCAGTTCCTCCTCTTCTTCCTCCTCCTCTTGGCTACTGTTCTTTGAACCCACGGGCTTCAAAGTTTTAAGGACTTCATCCAATGCATTTCCTTCCAAAATGGGTTTACCAGACTCAAGAAGATTATCAAAATCTTGCAGTTCTTTTTCAGACACCACGTGCTGCTCACTCACATTTCCACAAAACCACTCCAGAAATGACTTCTCTTCCGAAGACTCAAACATCCAGTCAAAATCTTCTCCATCAAGCTCATCAGCTTTTGGATATCCAATTTTCTTAAGTGTTTCCACAAAATCATTTCCACAGCTCATGATTAAAATATTTTTTGTAAGTAGAAAAGATCCAAATACATTAAAAACTCTGCAGCATTATTCCAGTTGTAATTTTTTAGTAATTTAAAATCAATATTCAGTATTTAAATAAAAAGAGTCTGCACAGGAAAAAGGAAGTGCCAGATCACACCAGAAAACTGAATGCTATTAGGGATTAGAGTGAGTATTCAAAGACTAGAAAACATTTTTTCAGGGACATATTAATGTGTTTTGTTCACCGAATCATGACATATACTGCTACATTTTTGCAAAGGTTTTTCCTTAATTCACATAAATTTACTCTTCAAATAGACTGCTACCACAAATTTAAAAGCAACAGGTCTAACCATTAATTCTTTGGCCTGCAAGTAACTTACTTATATGGGTTTTCCTCATATTAGTAAAAAAAACCTCACCCACAATCGTTTTGCCTTCCAAAATGACAGCTTTCAGTTAGTTCTACAAACAAAACTACAGTGACCTTACACTGCACTTCAAGATCTTGCTTGTAATTACTTTTTTTTCTTCAGCAGCAAGCAGAATCTTGTCTTCTAAAGTTCTGTTGTAAAGTTTCTTCTGAAAATGGAAAAAAAAAATCCTTTAACATAAAAATATTCCAACATAAGACTGCAGGTTTTTTGACAAATAAAAAAATAATTAAAATTAAGATCAGCATAAGTACTCTTGTGAGAACAGTTACAACTTTGAAGTTACAAGAAAAAGGAGCGTGTTGTTTTTTTTGTTTCCCAGCAAACAAATCATCAGCTTTGGAATCCTAAAGTGAGCGCAACAGACAGCAAGGAATAGGATAAATTATCAAGAAAGTCAGAAGCAATACTCTGGCGTTAATATATAAATATCCAGGGGATTATTCTTCTTTGTTGATGTTACTTAATACTTAGTTTCTAGGACACAGAATCCACTAGAAAGCCCCATTTTGCCTGCCGGCCTGGAAGGCATCAGTGCTGAACAATTAAACGCATCCTTCTGAAATTCTGCGTGTATTTAATGAATCCGAGAGCTACGGAGTATTTAAGAGGTAAATTTGTCACGCAGGCTCCACGTCACGGGGCAGCCTTCCAACCGCCCTCTGCCTTCCACGAGGCCTGTCACAAATTAAATAAACAGGCAGCTTTACGCGGGCCGCTAAGGCAGGCGGGCCCGGCCGCTCAAACCGCTCCCAAACACCACACGAACCCCTTTGGTGGGTCAACAAAATGATCAGTGGGAATTGGCTGTCAGGATTTGCTGTTGCTTCGGGATTGCTACTCCAGCTTAATTTTCTATTTAGGCAACTTAAAACTCCTTGTACAGCTAATCCTTGCCTTAGTAGTTGGCAAGTTCCCTTAGTAAATCAGTGGATTAAGTGCTGGACATCGGGAATCCTCTAGGCAAGAGCGAGGTAAAAATGCAAAACTTTTCTCTTTGTTTGGCATAGTTACTCGAAAAGTTCATCAGTACCTATTTTTATCCCTACTGGGGATAAAAGGGCTGAGAAGGAAATTATAAATATTTGTAAGCAGCCTGTTGCACAGGGGTCAAAACTACAGTATTAAAGTGCTGCATGTTTGGCAGGCTCAGAACAAAGAGGAAGCTGTCTGGATTCCTCGGTCCTGCTCCTAATGCTGTCCTTTTAACATCACCAATAAGTACTGTGAAGCTCAGGAAAAGTTTTGAAAGCATTTTAAGATTCAGATCTGTAAAATGTTTCAGGATCAGGTAATGGATAATGCGATTCTCATGAAAGACACAGGTTTTAGATTCAAGAGTGCAAGTGTATTTATTGGGAGCAGATTGTGATACGGATTTTTATTTTAAAATAGCTGACATATTTTGTCTAACAATTGTAAAGAATAAATCTGAAAATTAAGGCATACTTGTTGTTGTATGGGATTCCTGTTCCTAAATGAAGCACAATGTATCTGACTCTCACAATGTACTGATGCAGTGCTGGATTTGACATGACTCTTTGGATGAGTGGAACAAAAGTGCTTCTGAGGAATGTCTCTTAATGTGGGCCTTTGACATCTTGAAGCCTTTCAGTGCTTTTGAAGCAAGACTTCAAAGCCACACGTCAGACTCCCATGTATCTAATGATAGCTTTGACATGTCACTGTTCCCGCAAGTACTGGAATCCAGATGCTGTTTTGCCATTTTATCTTGTTCAAGCAAAGCAACTAGTCCACCAACCAAACAGAAAACCCTCCAACAATCAGTACTTGAAGTGGTAATATTGGCTAAACAGAGCAGGGGGCACCTTTATTCTGTGCAGTAGCTGAAGTGCTGCTTCTGATACTCACTAGTGGATATTGAGGTAAAAAACTTCTGTGTTAGCCCACCTGCTGTGTACATTTGCTTTCAAGTTTGAATCCAGGTAGCGACAAGAGCTTCCCAGAGAGTATAAATCCTACTAGTCCACCAATGGAGCACCTCTCTGTAAGCACCTCATTACCTCTATCAATACAAAGTCCTTTAGAACAATAACATGACAGTCTTGAGTCCATAATTTGCTTACAGGGTGGAGTGTGGGGTCATGTCTTTTCTTCTGTGGAAGGGGCCCCGGAGAGCTGCCTGCGGTCTGACGTAGTTAGAAATGAAAGGTAGCGGTGTTTTTGCGTCCCAGTGTTAGAAGCGTAGGGCTCGGTCTAGTGTTGTTTTCACATCCTGCTGTTAGAAGCACATTGTTGGAGTCTTATATATATATATATATATATACACACACACAAACCCTAGTGTTAGGAATATAATAGTTTGTTTAAGAGAAGTGAGGTACCTGCACGTTCCAATGACACCTGGAGGGGTTGACGGCCCAAGAAACTGAGGGACACAATTGGGCTCCATCCGGGGGGATCCAAACATGGAGCAGGATTTTTGGCCAGGATCAGACCCGACAAAGCCCCTCCTGTCCTGCTCCTTGGGGCAGGATGGCACCAGTGGGCACAGATCGTTGTGGTGGCTGGGAAGACAGCCAAGGGGGCAAGAAAGGCCAGAATTATACCTTAAAAGGTAAAAAGTAAACTGCTGGAATGGAACGTGTAAACAGGGGCTGGAAGCTTATAGGATAATTAGAAGCTTCGGAGAAGGTGTAAACTTTGGGCTACCCAGCCAGTGGGGAAATGGGAGGGAACTTTGCGTTGGGAATAGGGAATATAAACTGTTATTCACCTTACTATGGGTGTGCCTACTTGTTTTGGTCACCTGTTCTTGCAAGAGTGTAAATAAACTGTGCTTGGCTGAAGGATCAGTTTGGGCTGTTCACTGGTGCCACGAACGTTTCTCACAAGGTTGCTCAGCTCTGACCAAAACCCACCTTCACACCCAGCAGCCTCCCCAGCGCAGCTCATCAGGGCCACCAGCCCTTGGCTCACAGTTGCTGTGTTAGTGATGTGTCACTGTCTAGTCCTTTTAGCATTATCCCATGGACTTCATGTCTATGAACTTGTCTAGTCCCATTTTGACAATGCTGGTAGCCATCAAAAAGAAACTTCACAAGCAGCAGATTTCAGAATGTCACTACCTGGTGCTCAATAAAGTACTTTCTTAAATTTTTTTAACCCTCTCTAATCACATCAAGAATACCACTTCTGCATGTACCTTTTCTGTGGCCTTCATAATAATTCAGAAACCACAAATGAATTTCCCTTCAGCTCTGTCGTCTCCAGTTTGGAGGTTTCCAAGGTTTGGCTTATCTAAAGCAAGTGTTCCAGTTCCCTGTCACGTCAGTTGCCCCCCTCTGTCTAACACCGCTGTGCCTTGCTTGTGGTGCAGAGACGAGACTGCACAGACCTTAGGGTGTGGGTGCACCAAGGTTTTCTACAAAACTCTGATTTCCAGTGCACCTCCTTATGATGCTGCCGGTTGTCATGGTGTTTTGGCCACTGCTGCTCATTGAGCCACCCGAAAACTCTCGGCAATGATTGCGGGGCCTCTTCTGCATTGCAAGGGCTTGTTCTGGAGTTGAGCATCATGTGAACTTTGCACTAAGGGTCTGAGCATCCTTTATCAGCCACTCCATGAGTTTAGCCATTTTTGCTTCCTGTTTACATTTTGCATGCCACGTTTTCCCTACTTGCCTCGTGATAGCCTCCCTGTCTCATTGAGTCATGCAGTGGGGGAGGTTTGGGCTTTCTACTTGCATCAGACATTTTACTTGGGCTTCTAGTACAGTGGTTTTTAGCCTTCTGGGTGTTCATAGACTTCTTTTGAACAGCTCATTTAGGGTTTTCTGGCATTTTCGCCCATTTTTGCATAGGTAATTTTCTTAAAATTATCTCTTTGCTCTATTTTTCTTGCTCTCTCTTCTGCCAGTGTTAAGCTTAATTATATTGTGGTTGCTACTATGGAGCAGCTCACCCACGAGTAGCTCTTGAATTAGATCCTCTGCACTGCTGAAGACTAAATTCAGAGTGGCGCTTTTTCTTCCCCCTCCTGTGGTTTCTAAGGCCAGTTATTCTAGGAAGAAATAATTTATTGCACCCAGAAATGTTATCTCAACATTTCACCCTGTTGAGGCATTGACCCAGTCTGTATGTGGGTGGTTGAGCCCTCCCACTATGTGTCCTAAATGTGCAGCTTCTCTAATCTGAATGCAATTGTTGAAATTAATCAAAACAGGGAAATGAGCAGCTTCACAGCTCAGCACAGCTAAAACTAACTCACATGAGGTTTTCTTGATCAAAATCAGCACCTGCATTGCCTGCAAAGTGCAGTAGGTTGATTACTGGTACAGTACGGTTCTGTGCAAAACACTTTTAAATGAAACCCTGACCTGGCAGTGAGTTCTCTCTCATGGGTAAAAAGCTGTAGTGTTGAATTCCTCCCATCAGATTACAGCCTGATACGCAGCTGGACTTGAGGCTGGCTGAAGTTTTCAACTCCTTTTGCAGAGCACGTGTTGTGTCCTTCCGATGGGGAAGGAGCAAACGCGTTCTCGAGCGTATTTCGTAAGAGGATACAGTTTCAGTTGCCTTTTGTTTGGGTGTTGTTTGTTGTTGTTTTTA